AGATAATGTGCAATGTATAATGAAATAAAGCCTCTGCTTCGTTCATATTCATTTGCTATACAATGACCCCCCCCCCCCAGGGGAGTGCGTGTGTGGGGAGGGGTTCAACTGCAATGTAAACAGCTACAGCACAACTCGATAGTAAGGGGACTACACTCAGGCAGACGCGGTATTATGGGATGGATCTCCCACCGCACTGGAGGCAAGAAGGAGGGAAGAACCAGTGACCCAGATGAAACAACAAGATGTTTCCCCGTCTACAGAAACAGGACATCTGTGTGGATGACAGTAAAACACTAAGCTCTCATCCTATCCCACTGAAAACGACCACTTTGTGGGCTGTGGGAAAATACTGTGCTCCGGTCCCAACACCCCAACCAGAAGCACCAAATGAGGCACAGCAAAGCACTGCTTCTAACCCACTGGAAGAGAAGCACTGTATGGACCGCAATGAAACAGCCATCTAATATGCTCCCAGCCCCCTGTTGTACCGCAAATGAATGAATCGCAGTCCGTACCCCTCCTGAGGCAGCACAGCGAAACAGAAGACGTCTGCAGAGAGGCTGAGAGAGCTGGCAAAACGCTCCGCAGAAGCAGGACCTCACCAGGAGGCTGGTTAATAATTAACAGCATACGTTTTCGACACAAATATCAGACGAGCTACATGTTTTATTAAACATTAGCTGAACAACTTAAGAAACAAAAGAAAATGGCACCACTGGATGAAAAAAAAAATCCCTAAAATAATTAGTGAGAGGGTTACGAAATACAGCCAACATTTTAAATTTTGAAACCTATAAAAAAAAAAAAAAACGTACTACTCAAAATGTTTCAGTGTTTGAAAAAGGACAGTGGTAAAAGTATACAGCTTCTGCAAACGCTTCAGCGGAACATTTGAGTCATTACATGTACTGTTTATTTTGTACAATCATTTTCGCTCAGTCTCGTGGAGAGTGCCAGTAATACTCCAGTTAAACTGTAAGCTTATAATTCAAAGCTGAAAAGGCCAGAAAAGCATGAACATTACACCAGAAAGCTGTCATAGGGAAGCTGTTCTTACACGCTCCTTGAACAAATATGTATAGAAGACCCTTATATAGGATATACATGCACACAACATAAATGAGTGACCTGCTACACTGGGCCTAAACCCAACCCACTACCTGCCTGCCATCTATTGTACATAATGTGCATCAACTAAAGTTTCCCATTGAATTGCCCTGAATTACTCACCACTACCTGTGAAAATAAATAAGGGGGGTGTAAAGGCACAACCACCAGGCTGAAAACTATGCTGAATTACATTTCACATTTTACTTATTTAGCAAACACTTTTATCAAAAGTGATGTACATTAAGAGAAAGCAGTTTCAGCCAATCTCTGGTGTAAGGGACTTGTTCATGGGCCCAGTAGTGAAATCACTCTGCAGTCCTGGGGATTTGAACCAATGACCTTCTGATCACCAGCACAGCATCCTAAATCACTTAGCCACACACAGCATCCTTGAATGTTAATCTACAGCAGTGTTTCTCAGACCAGTCTTCGGGAACCCCCAGATAGTCCAGGTTTTTGATCACTCAGAATTCCCCGGGACCTGGGAGGGAACAAAACCATGAACCATCCCCGAGGAAGGGTTTGAGAAACACTGATCTACAGCACTGTATTAATTCCTGTTAATTTTACAACTGTAATACAAGAGTTCTTGAGAAGGAACCCTCCATCACTGCCTACAAAAACACTGTGGGCATTCATCGACCTGCCTCTCACCGGGGGGCAAGAGCGTTAGTGTCTCTTACATCTCCCACGATGGGCCAGTGTCTCCATTTTCATCACTGCCGGCCTCTGGCGCCCCTTGCAATGATAATGTCTGCCGTCCCCCCCCCCCAACCCCCACCCCGCAGATGACATCTGCCGTCTTAGTCATTTACACAACTATCCTGCTGTGATGTGTTACCAAACTATCCCTAATCGAAGTGTTTCTGCTTTCCCACAGAACAGCACTCATCCAGGCTAAGCTACACAATCCTACGGTCATTCTTCCAGTAGTTCAACAAAAAAATCCAGCTACTCAGATCCTCAGTCGACCACTATCCTCCTGGCATACCAAAGACCAAGACCAAAACTCCTATCCAGGGTTGAGAGAACCCTGATGACATGACAGCAAACACACACACTGGTCGCCAGCCGTAAAACCAATAAACTAGAACATACCTCTGGCGAAGTGTGATCCTTCCTGAACTACGACGGTCCACAGAAACCCACAGGCCTCAGTCACACACCGACACACTTTCTGGAGCAGATTAGCTGATGCGTTACATTGTTGCAAAAAACTAGAACTACAGCTAATACAGCACCGGGTGAATTATCCTTCTTCACCAGTTTTGACCTATTGTATGCGAATAGCAAGACCGCCGAGTTTGAGGGAACACATTTAAATACAACATATTTCCAAGTTTCATCAAATAGATTTTATCCTTAACAGAAAAAAAGAAAAAAAAAAACGTTTCAAGAGTAGATTTGTTTTTTATAAAATGCTTCTGAGCCACAGAGACCACAGAGATCTGTTATCTCCTATTTCTTGTCCACAGCTATAGAATGTCTCCGGTCACCTTATTTCTCAATTTCCTTCCAAGATGTAATTCAGTAAAGTTAAAAGCTGCATCTTTACATTTGTCTATAATATTAACACCACAAAACGATACAGAACATTCTCAGCTTAGGTAAAACAGCAGCTCCCACAGAAAAAAAAAGGTACCCTGGTACAGTTTTGTTCCCCAAGGTACAAACAACATTAATATACCCCCTATGGCACAAAAATGCTCCTCAGAGTCTATTTCTGTACCTTAAAAGGTGCATTTACCTACAGCTATGGGTACAATTGCCACACCCTTTAGGGTACAGCCCCCGTGACACCTTATTGTACCTCCAAAGATACAAATTAGTCTACTGCACTGTCAGAAAAAAGTACCAACAGACACATCACCAGATAACATTAGGGCTTCTACAAACACGCAGCTCTCAAAAAAAGTTTTGATTTGATGCCATGACCCCAGATAATAATGAAAATGCATTAAATGCAATGCAATGGAATGAATATCTTTAAACATAGCAATTATACTAATAGTGTCAGGCTGAAAACTAATTTGGTTAGTACATTAAACCCCTGGCAAAAAGGTCTCCATAGAGCAGTATATATCACTAAGTCCATAAGACTACGCAAACCCATTTTACTTTCCCTAAGATCCGCCAAGCTCTTTTGGTTCGTCAGAAAGGAATCCAAGCTCTAAACTAATTATGGTGCTGTTACTTTCAAATACAGATTGCCTAAAATAGTAAAAAAGGGAAGGCAAGTCCTTAAGCGCCCTAAAGAAGCGATAATGAGTGCGTCCATGGATCCAATAAGGGCAAATCTTATAAAGATTTGGCTCTGATATGTCTCCGAAACAGACCATAACTCTTGTCAAAAAAGTAACCATGATATCCATTCAATCACATCTACCACAAATGGTAAATGAATATGTTAACAAAATTACATAAGAAAGGCTTGGCATTGATGTGTGCCCTAATGCAATATTTTACTTAATAAATCTGTAATAGTGCACAGTGCTACGTTTTTAAAATGAAGCTTTGGTTCCATATAAAATATGTTTGTGCAATCTTATCAAACGATAACTTTCACATAATTGCTAATACATAATGACACTTTATAGGATCCAGGTGCAAGAGGGGCTGAAAATATGTGAAGTTAAGACGTATACCAGTTTGCCATTCCGTGTTTATATGGGTAGAGATATTTCGTGTAGTATCTTTCAATGAATGTGCCAATTCCGTGTTTTAAATAAACCTTAAATAAACTTCCAATGAAATTGCGGCAATTCTGTCTTTTAAGTTATCCAGACAAATAACCTTCAAGTATTTACTAACACCATGAAGGATCTTCCCTACTACACCCTGAACAAGCGGCTGAAAACACAGCAGGATACTAAAAAGGAAAGAAATGATCGGTCTGTAGTAAGACAAGCGTATGATTCTATCCCATCTAATCGAAACCGTACCTTACTGGAAAAAATAGACATCACAATAAAATATCGGCGTAGAAGTAGCCCAGACGCAGCCTAATATGCAGATTCCACTAAAATTAACTGCGCAGATACTTTAGTAACAAGTTTAAAACACCCTGTATGCTTATGTTAAATCCATGACCCCCAAATTAAGTAATCTTCACAGACACCTCACTACAATGCATGTTAAACACCGTACAGGAATCAATGTACAATTAATACACTTCTTCAGAAATCAGTAATCCGCATACTTGTTATCTGGTCAGTTTAGATGATGGTCATCAATGGACACAAACTAAAGGCATTATGCATCTGCTTTACCAGGTCATTCACATAAAAGTGTTAATCTGTATTTTAAAACTTGGGTATTCTATCGTAAACGTACCAAAAATTTAGACCAGTTAACGTGCAAGAAAGTCTATTAGCACCACACAAATAACAGCCCGAGATGTGACTCTAACCACTTCAAATAGTAGCCATAGCAGGCGATTTAACCATACTGCGCCGCTAACCAGTTAGCCGTTTGGCTACCGAGCACTGTAATGATCTACAAAGGGACAGATGGATGGACGGTCCGCCAAGCGGGCGTGCACGGGGTGGCAAAGCAATCTGGTTATTGTAATGATGATTTCCATATCTGCTAGGTGCATTTCAGAGCTGGCTTGATGCCACCCTAACAGGGTGATTATAAGCGTTACCGGCGCCGAAGCTCCCGGGCTAGGGCCAGCTGTTCACGGCTGCCCGTCAGACTGAATGGGGGCTCCGACTCCGCACCTTTGGGCAAACAAAGCATGCATGGACTCACGGTGCGCTACCCGCACCGGCTATCACCGTGCATCTGGGTAAATGGGGAAAGAAGGACGAGGGATAAAAAGTACATGATGCACGTTGCACATATGCGATTGAGACCCGTTATATGGGGATTAGGAATCAGCCTACCTCTGAGCCACCTACCGCACGATTCCGCGGCTCTTTTTGGGGGTCGCTTGGGTAGCTAGCCTATTAGCAAACTAGCAGGAGCTGGAGAAACAATAAAAAATCCTTTCGTCTTTTTTCGCAAAAAAATACAACATCGGTAATAAAAAAATAAAATCTTGCAAAAAGAAATTCGGACAAAATCGTCGGTTCTTCTCAGTTAATGCATCCTTTTCACATGGCAGGCGACGCAACAAGGCACGTTCCCAAACATTCATCCATCGATCTCAGTGCAAGGCAATAAAGCGGCGGCAGCCTGACCGATCGAGCCCTCGCCTCCCCCCAATCACTCGGTGAGGTCTCCTTTTAGCAAACGGGCTGCTTGCTCCCCTCTGCTCGGACGGGAAAGGGGATGGAAGGGTGTGAAGGAGCACTTAGCGTGGAGCGGCGAGGCTGACTTCCCTCCGCACTCAGCAGGCTGCTGTTTGTGGGCGTGCGGCTGGGACCCGCTCTCCCATCCAACTGCACGTACTTCATACTTCGGCTCTTATTTGTCATCCGACAGTGTTCACACCAATAATGTGCGCCTTATACTACGGTAAATAATCTGCAGGATTGATGTTATTACGGGGGGAGACAGCGAGGCACTGCTGTCATTAATATAACACAGAACATTTCACTTTGTATTTTTATTTATTTATTATTTTTTTACAAAATAATTTCTTAACCCCATCTACACTTTCTAATACTACAGGCACATATTGTTTTGTTGTTTTTTTATTAGTACCAGATTAATATGCTTGCCCTTCGCTTTCCAAAATTATTGTATGCTTTCATATATTTGTTTATTTAAGTGCTATGTATTATTAAAGTAAATGTGTCTGTCCTAACGCTGGATTTGTTCTCTGCGCAATTCTTCTGCTATTCATCTATCCATTTACAATACTTCTTTAGGGGAGACGAAACAAAGGGTGATCATGTATTTCAGAGGATGGGGTGCACACTGTGCATAAATTAATGGGTGAAATCAGTCACGACCTGTGATTAGATTGCGATTCAAGAAGAAATGAAACGTGTTTCCCAAGCGTTTCAGGTATTTATAGAAAATACCGGAAATTAAGTTAAGAAAGGATAATTTGCGATCTAACAACTGAAAAGTATAGCAGAGAGGAACATCATTCGTATTCCATGCATATATGGCGCAATAATTTTCATCCTTATGCATTTATTTATGAGGGTATGCCTTTAATGTATTTAAAGAAAGCTTGCATTTAAGCTTCGCGTTAACTCCAACGCAAAATCGCATTTTTGTAAGGTATACATTGATAAAAGGTAATTTTGTGGTATTGTGCACTAACCTGTACCAACATAATATTTTCTTCTGATGTGGATACATTTAGCAGAGCACTGTATAGAGGAAGACCATTTTGCAGTTTTTGTAGTGAAGCTCTTCATCTGGGCTTCTTCATACAGCCCCAGAGCTGCTTGTCAAGGTGTGAACACAGTGTCACTCCAAGATATCGTGATTCACTCAGTCTTTTCCTCAGTCATATCAGATGGATTTGCCAGCATTTTCTCACCACCTACACAATCTAGTGCCTGTCTGCCCCCTTGGAGGATTCCAGTTTAACAACAATTTCTTATGCTATTTTCTGTTTAACCGCAAGTTGTTTATCTCTTACTGCTTCATAAGTTCAACCATTCATTTACATTATAAAGGTATATCCACAAACAACCATTTCCTGAAGCCCTTGGGTAGGTCACACATTTTGATGCGTACCCACTTCATCAGCCCTCCCCCAACCCAAATTACCGGGCACGGAATTCACTTACCAACTTTACAACACACAAAGATTGGGGATGGATTTGCTCTGTCCCTGACCATTGCAACAACAACTACTTTCAACCAAGATGCAAACAAAATCCAACAAACCCTCTACTTCTCATTTACATATTCTGCTCCCACTTGCTGTACCGTGGCTTGAAATATATATTCACACACATCTATTTATACCAGTGTGAACAATGAAGGCATCCTTCTCTATACTGCCCCCTCCATGTGGCTCAGTCCCCAATATCTACTCAGCCATAATCCCATATATGGGGTTAGGCCAGTCTAAGTGCGCCACCTCTGACTTAAACCTCACTAGTCCTTGTCTGCTGCTATGACTGAGTGCTAGGGATCTCCAATAGACTGACGTGACCCAGGTACAGGGCAAGGTGGTGCTGATGTAGCATTACATGGTGCTGGCGTGTGGGACAAGCCCTACATCTGGTCCTGGCACATTAAGGACCACCTCCTAAATTGGTGCCGTACTTTAGCAATGGTGCAGTGGGGCACGAGACCACACAGGGGAGTCATCTTTGCTCGGTGCAGCTTCGACCTTCTGGAGAAGCTTCATTATGCTGACGACGTCCCCAGTAGAACCCCAGTGTATGGGTGACCTCATAATGCCCTGGACCTTCTGCACAATGGACCAGCTGTAGAACTGTGTGGGGAGAGCTGGTCACTCTCCCTCTTTTACTCACTTTAGTGCAGGTTGCACCTCTAGGTCTTCCAGTCGATGCCATCGAAGCTCTCTGAGTGGTAGATTGTAACAAAGTTTGACTCCGGAATAGGGAGGATATAAATCTAGTCTTAAAGGGCACCTTTTAATCCTAGCACCCACATGATTGCAATCCTTCTTTTGAGGTGCGCTGCAGCCCAAAGATTAACCAATGGCTGTAATGGATACGCAGAGAGAGTATACACTGCTCTCAGTCATCTTTAAGATGGAAGGTAACAGAGTCACACGATAGAAGGTCATTATTTCAGTAATCAGAACATCAGTATGGAAGGTGGTGCTTACAATCACTATCACATTATTCCCGGTGTAAAAATAATTAAGTGAATAAAAATCACCTGAGATGCACTCTAAAGGGCTGGAGGAACATCTGTAGAGTCTCTTCAGAAACTGGAACCTGACCCTCTTAATGCAACTCTGTGACTGATGTATAGAAAAGCTGTGTCTGGCTGACCAATACCATGAGAACACCATAGACAGGCCGTAATATAACTGAAAGGTATGTTATTACCTTGGCTACGTAATTTCACATAATTTGTCATTCGCTGGAAGCTCAGTTTAGCTGCACTTACAATGTACTACCTGCCTTGTTTTTACATCACTTTGGACAAAAGCATCTCCCAAACAAATAAATGTGAATGTCACCCTTGCCACTAGAAGACCATTTTAATAAAGAATCACACAGCATTTCTGTTTTTATTTTATTGGTTTCAAATAACACATTACACAGTATAGTCCTAGAGTAATATCACTGCTGTTGAAGTGAGGTTTTCAGGTGCTTCGTTATAACAATAATTTCAAGCGTACATGGCATTGCCTTTTCTCCTGCTTTCTAGCCTGTGACTCCGTAATGCTGTTAGTCAGTCAGTGATTTTCCTTTACAAAGCCATCAGACGGTGTCGCCTCGACACTGTGGACCACTGCGGCTGGCGTGCAGTGGCAAAAACACGTCAGTATCTAGTGGCAAAGGAGGTGAACTGCAGTGCAGGGATGGCGTGCTCGTTAGCGAACGTGGCTTTGTCGATGCGCGACATGGGACTCCCGGTATTCCTCAGCCAGTCCTTCCTGCAAACACAGAGAGGAAGGCGGTTGCACGGCTTCCATTGACCATATGCTTCTGGCACATATCGCACAAATCTCCTGGAACGTCACAATCACATGGGTTTAATACTTGTCGTACTGTGGGTGCAAATAGTACCGGTCAAAGCCCATGTGGCGCCCTAGGCAAGCTTCACTTGCGGTGTCCCCGTCGGCAAACTTTACCGCTCTATTTAACTTTGTCTCAGACAGCAGCAAACGCAGCTGCCTACACTGTCTAATAGATCGGTCGGCACTGGGCACGAATCAATCAACTGGTATATAGGGAACTTCATGTTTTTGGTCGACACAGGTAATTTATGAAGGATGTATTTTTAGCTGATAACCAAGAAAGAACGTCACTTTTCCCCCTAATTGATTCAATCCACTAATTTCACACCCAAGAATCAACACATACACATGACCACTGATGTCAGCGAAAACCTACTTGACGTCTCTACCATCGTCTAGGGGGGGGGGGCGTTCTTCAACTCATGACCTACTAAGGATATTTATATTTCTCCCCCGTTTTTTTGCAGACCATCTCTCTTGGATGACCTATTTGTGTGCGCCCCCCCCCTCCCCCACGCACCACACACACCCCAGTCTCCCTCTGTTTCTTTTCCTCCTTGATGGGACTCTCAGGGACACTGCATGCTCCAGTTTGAACTTCGCAAACACTCAGGAGTAAAAACCAGGACGGTGAGGGTGGGGCTTTGAGAGGAGCGCTCCACAGCCGTTGGACAGGTGAGCGATGCAGCTTGACGGCAATGAAACGTGGTGAGGGGAGACGGGCTCTGTTAGCGAGGGCCCCGTGAGCCGCTGAGGCTGTCCACTCGACGTCTAGCTGAATTTATCCAATTGTTCTCAAAAATATGTCACTTGCACCGCACCCCTCTTGCCAGGTTCTTGCAGCAAGGTAGCGGCATCAAACAAAAATTACACATAGAATAAAAAACTCGAATTTATAATCTCAACAAAACTTAAGTGACTTTTACGTCAGAAGGCTTCTGCCCAATTCAGAAGTTTTGGGTCACGTCACACCACGCCTGCCGCCAGAAATACATTTTATGAGGGATTGTTCAACTCTAGCAGTAGGTCCCCCTCGGTAGATTTCGGCAGTTGGGGGTGGTGGGGGGGTAAGCCTTCCCCCATAGAGGGAGGTCCTTGCTCATACACACCTTACCACAAACCTTAACTATCGCTGTAAATAAAAACATATGCATTCACTAGCCAGCAAGGGTTTAATTCAATGCAGTGGTAGAACAATTCAGCTTTTTATGTCAGTGCAAAGTCTGTTAGCAATTTTAGGAAACATTTAATAAATAGGGAAATACATCAATCAGGAACGGGAAGGGTTGCCACCCGTCTAGGATTTTCTGAGACCATGCCGGATTTTGGTCATCTGTCCAGGAAAAAACAAATTTCATTCCGTGACATGGACTGTCCCAATCAATTTCCCCATCAAACCCACCTAAACAAACCTTTGGAATGGTGTTGCTATGTGCAGTACTTCTGGTCAATGACTGGCTGTCCAGGATTTTACAGGACTGAGGTGGCAACCCTAGGAAGAGGATACGGGTGCCCTGTATTCGTTTCGTTTCAACTCAATTAAACAATTATTTTGGAGATATGGCTCCCTCTAGTGGAGAAAACAAAAAACTAGCATTTTAATTTTTCTGATAATGCAGTACCAATCACTTGTCAGATGTCTGTTAAAGAAATGTGGCTACAGCCTGCTATTACATTAAAACCTATGTGCATAATCCATTGGAAGATGTGCATAATCATAATATACTGCTATTTACTTCATTAACACAATCAAAAGAATAAAAGTATACTCACATCTTTTCCACAGTCTCCTTCGGACCTTGGATCTGACCCTCCACAGTGTCCCGGTTGGTATTTCGCACCCAGCCCACTAGCTGCAGTCTTTTTCCTTCTTGCTCTGTATACTTGTTTCATTTAAAGGGGATGCAATTTTTTTTTTTGTGGGGGGGGGAGGAGGTGGTGGTGGTTGGGAATCAAGGACATAGAGTGCATGGGTATAACAGACAATTGAAACAAATATCGATTCAGTTTTTTAACCTAATTATTGTTACCATTACATGCTAATGTTTACCTCTCCAAATAACCCACTGACAACAGAACAAAAAACAAAACAAAAAAAAAACAAAAGAGTGAGAGAGACGAGTACCTTTCGGAAGAAAACACCTGCGAAAAGCACAGACATGAAGAACCATAAGCTTTGAATGTAAGGCCATAATGTTCTGTCAGTATACAAAGTCATATATGTTCAGTTAAGCTGAAATGTTCTCCTAATATTTACACCTGCTACTCAGGACCTCATGTACCAAGCATTAATATATTTTTTTCCTTTTCACCGAAAGGTCAAGGTTATTTATATCTGATTCACTTTGCGATGTTTCCCACATTGAATGAATTAAGTGCCTTATTCTCATTCCGCCTATCATCTGAGCCTGGGTGGCAGTCTGAATGGGCATATTAAGTTGCATCACACATTAAAGGGCAGATAAAAGTAACCTGTACACTGAGATTTTCTTGGGGTTTGGTGCACAATAGACTTATACAGTATAATAAAACGACAGCCAAAAAATCTGAGTAAGTATCTGAAAATGATAGTAATACATAATAATATTACCATTTGCAAAACTAAAAGATGTTTCTAATTTACCAAAACCATATCCTTTAAATGTAAATGTGCCACCTCCAAGCTATGGTAATGTGTTGCATAGTTAACCATGTATTAATGGTGAAACATTTTTTGGTGTCAATGCCAAGATTTTCCTTGGGAATGTCTGTTATGACCCCATGTGGCTGGGGTCAGAAGAAATGACTGGCACAGACCGGTCCGCAGCTACAAAACATCTGATCATGAATTGTTTCCAAACTTCTATTATGAATCACGATATTTTGGTGCTTCGTGTGTATAAACGCTAAAAACTGCATATATTGATGGATACATATCCATAAACAAGGTTATGGTGACATAATGACTGGTCAATTAACTGGAATCCCGTCTGGAGAGTACCTCACCCATGTGACCAGTGCTACCTGGGACAGGCTCCAGGCCCCTCCGCAAGCATGACACAGATAAGTAGTTGGGAAATGGAGGAATATCTGGTTTGCACTTACTTTAAAAATATTGTATATAAGACATTGTATCTATTTATGCGCCCATAGCCTCCGGGATAAGTGGTTTCAGAAAATGGATGGATGGATCTATTTATGTATCTTATGCAAATAAATTCTTTGGCAAAATCAATACTGGGAATACAATTACAAGTGTAATATCGTAATGTATGTGCCTGTTGGTAATTTGACAGACTTTCGGCTTTCTGCAACGTTTACAAGCAAGAATCAAATGACAAATCGTGGCCACATTCCTATTAAGGAATGATTTTTGGGGCCATGAATGATGTGACATGATACTCCGCAGTCTTTCCATGCTATGTCTACGTAGGTTTCCTACCTCAATGTTGAATGTTACGGTTACGGCTGCAAAAAATACAATATGTGAAATATGTAACTTTTTTTAGTTTCAGTGTAGCTGCTCTAAGTGCAATTTAACATTGGACGTGGAACATTTTCCCAGAATAACTGATTCCGTCATTCAGGTTTCTACTGACATTAAGAAACTACGGGAAACTAAATTAGGCAGTGAACATTAATACGCGCACGCCTTACCTTGCACTTCCCCGAACACCTCGTAGTCCACGGAGATCAGTTCCGACATTGCAGGCTGCGTTGAATGAATGGAACTGCGTATTGACAATGGTACGCGTGTGATGCCTTTCACTGCCAGAGGAGGCAGCTGCAGGATTCCTCCCTTGAACAATACACCGTACAGAACGCGACCTATAATATGCGTAGCCGCGACCATTGGAGCCACAATGGCGACCTTTGTTATGTCCCGCCTCTTCCGGGTATGACTCCGAAAGCGACCAATCCTGATGAAGCAATAACATCGGAGAGGATTGTTCAGTGACAGTCAGCGTGCCAGTTTAGATAGTTCGGTGTATGAGTTTGGTGCAGTTGAATTCGCTAGTACATCCATCCATTTTCTAAACCCGCTTGATTGAACATGAATGCAGAGTACTAATTTTTTTTTTTTTTTACAGATTTTTCTACATTAATTTATTTTTTCAGTAACAGTTTTTTTCCTAAAAATAAGGAATTGTACCATATTGTAGATTTTACATTCCCTCATTTTAGACCAGATGGTAGCAAAGCTCGGAGTTGTTAAAAATACAATCCACGGAATCACCAGGCTGATGCTGAGTAACTGTTGACTGAGTTCTGAAGAGGTGTGAAATACATTATTTATAACATTTACGTAGCAGACGTGCTTATCAAAAGCAACATACAATTGAGAAAGCCCCTAGAACAGCTAGGGTTCATGGACCTTACAAACAGTGAAATTACTGCCAACCACTCGATTTGAACCAGTGACCTGATCAGAACCACAGCATCCTAACCCTGCCACCGAGCCACACACTGACATGTGACAGGAAGTTGAGTTGTTGTGCTGAGGCACATATACAAAGTAGTTACAAACGAGCAGTTTACTACAGCGTCAACTGGGAGGAAAACATTACATTTATTGTGAACCAGTAATTATGTGAACAATCAAGTTCTACATCCTCATCACACTTTAAAGTCCAAACTTTTTAATTTAGATTGATTTCCTTGTTATTCAAAAACAATATTTTTCAGTATTATACAAGAAAGTGCCATTAATTATAGAATACATCAAAGTGGCAATCCAAAACAGTGGCAATATTACAACGAACAAGGCTCTCTAAAAGAAAAATAAATGGGCAGCATTTTGAATGGGGACACTGCCTCATTGCTCCTACTAGTCACACAGGTAGAGAACTTAGATCTTCTACGGTTAATAGTACAACCTAAAAAGGAAGCATAGAATATAAATATTCTCACGTATGAAGTACAGAGAATATACGTGTCAACCACACATGTTTAACTCACTAAACTGCAAATAGGCCTACCAGACTGCAGAATAATATGATCGAGACAATAAATCATTACAAGATTAGTATGCAAATTATACAGCAATATACAAAACCCGCAGAAGCAAAGGCTTGTCCCCTAATAATAATGGCAGGTGCGTTTATACCTTTGAGTGGCTGGGATCCGGGTAGTCGCAGACGCCCTCTGGCCACACCGTGCGTATCAGCCCTTTCACCTCCCGCGGATATACGTACGTGGGACGATTCCGATTACTTTTACCACAGCCAACTTTATACTTGAACTGAAAGACAGGGAGGGTTAAAATGCAGTCTTTCCGGCTTGAAGGCAAATGTTATCAGGCCAAACAAAAGTGATTAGGAAAGAGGGAGTGCGCGTTCCCGTACTAGTTTGTAGTGGATGAGTTTATATGTCTTCTTCCGCCGGGCTTTGTCGCTCTTTAGCCTGGATGCAGCGCACATCAGTGGGGCCACCCACCCTGGGACACTGAGAAAGGAGCAGGCTAGCATTATTATTATTATAAGAGCGGTTAAGGTGAAAAAGAAATGCAACGTATTTCCTTCATACAGCTAATAACTTGATATTTAGCAAGAATGACAACATACCTGACAGAAATAGTTGGCATAAATATAGATAAACAGATTAAACATAACTTGAACGATATCAGCTTAATAGTACAATACTAAATTCCACAGACTAAGTTTACGCAATTACCTTTTCCATTATCGAATACCACAATAACTAAACTTAGGCCCAGAAATAGACCATTAAAACAGAAATTATACATTGATTATATATAAAAATATTATATATAATATTTTTTTTCTAGACTGAATTGTTTATAAGGTATTGTCCTTGGTTTTTTTTCCACGTGTATCATGAAAACCATGGGGGTATAACCACAAATTAGTTGTTTCTACTCGAATGTACCCGAATGCCCGGCAACACTCCGCATAAAATTCCATATCGCTGATGTCTTCCGTCGCCATGCCGTCTCGTTACGGGGGGGCACTTACGGTCTATTACTGTAACGGAGCCGGGATTTGAATGTTGCGCGCACTTACCCACTTTGGTATACATTATCGCAAGGCCAGGCGTCTCGCGCCCGTAGAGGATTTTAACTGCAACATAGCAAACGTCGCAGTGCTAAAGCAAATTTATAAAGCATTAAACATATAATGTATTCTTTCTACAAAATATATGTGCTACACAGAAACATAAGACTGAGATATGATATTAAAGCTTCTGGGCTTTGGACGTAAATGTCCTGATCCAACTGAAAAATTCTGTAATTATGAACAGCCCAGCACTAGCCTGAGCCTGTAGGCCAGCATTCATAAAAACTCATTGACCTCGGTTCACCACCGGGTTATTGCATCGAATTTGCCGAATCTGTAGCCTCTCTTTACAGGTGCAGCAATACGAATTAAGTAACAGTTAAATATTAATTTTATTTGTCATTACATTGTTTAAACTGACACAGCTCTTTTGGCTAGTTTTAATCTGGCCACGTCGCATGTAATTTGTAACTGGCAAGCGGCCTGTACTTGGCAAGCGGCACCTTCAGACGGCTTCGACGTGGATGTTCAGCGGTATCACGCGTATTCGAGGTTCTGCCGAGTCTTTTCCAAAATCACCACTGTCCTTGATAGCCGGCGCGTCACCATCAGGTACGAAAACATACAAATGTATGTTCGTTTAGTGGCAAGTAACCTGTTTATTACACTACGACCCTCATGAAATACTGTTAATATTGTATGTAACCCAATAAACTCCAGTTGATTATATCTGCTTATCATACCCGTTTCCGCAACGCGCCTGAATTTCGCATTACTGAACGTGGTTTTATTTGTGTATTTGTAACTCTCTTCTGATTTTCATATTTTTATATAGACCTTTGCCTCTATTGGTAAACATTAAATACATATTTAACATATCCTCCTGAGACCCCACCCATTCATTTATGTCCATTGTAGTGGACATTTTGTTTTTGCATCTATCTTTTCACTGATGTATAAGGACACGTATTTATTCCTGTTGTACATGCTGTGAAATTAAAAATAAAAATAAATTAGAAAAAATCTAAATTGTAAGATGTCTTATTTCCTCCAAAGACAAATAACCTACAATTGAAGGACACTTTTTTCCTTGGGTCTCAGGAGGATACAGGCTCAGTTTTTCTTGTTTAGAGACAGAAGGTGACTCCCCAGTAGCTGGGGATAACTGGGGCGGTACTTCAAAACAGGAAGCGTGTCGAATCGAAACTTGGTAGCTGGTAGCCAACAGCATAATAATCACCCTGATGCAGACATATTCTTATGCTTATTCGAGCTTCAAGTGTAGCCTTTAACTGAGGATACCGCATTCACAACCTCCAATGGATAAAAAAGGTATTTCTCATTCTTCTGACACAACATCTGTAATGGTGTTAGTTTGCAAACATTATCCGTAACGTACAGCTTTATGTGCGGGCAAATGTTGACACTAAACTTAAGTTTAGGTATCTGCGAAGTTTGTAACCATGCATACTGAAAGATATAAAAAAAACCTCAGATTTGCGATCAGGCATAATTCGGAATTCTATCACTTATATAATATAAAAGGCTATTTGCCGATAACGAACGTTTATTAACATTATTTTCGCAGTATATCGTGTTAAATTGTATTTCTGTGTGTTATTCTGTGAAGGCCTGCTTATATGAAATCACGAAATGAAAAACGACTTTACAAATATCGTGTTACAAATTACTTTGTTGCTCAGCAACTACGTTTCCCTTGTTGTTGTCAGTTTCAGTTTTATCTGATGTGACGTGAACGCCCGCGTCACGTGGTACAACGAGTTACATAGGCAAATATATAAGTGCAGTACTTTGATTTGTGTGTAATAAACAATTTGTGTCCCAGAGATCTCTCATAGTGAGCTCAAAGCTCTCATAGGGAAGAGTCCAGATTTATTGTTGATTGACGTACGCACGAAAGAGGAGGTGGATAAGGGAAAAATTCCAGGATCCATCCACATGCCTGGTGAGTTATTAATATTACTATTATCAATTTATTCGATGCATTTCAACAAAATGGTGATGGTTTTTCCCCCCCACAGTGGATTCTGTAGATCGTGATCTAGCCTTGGACCCAGCAGCCTTCCAAGCAAAGTTTGGGGTTCAGAAACCATCCCTAGATGCCCCAGAGCTGGTCTTTCACTGTCAGATGGGCCGTCGTGGGGCCTTGGCTGTAGAGAAGGCACAAGCCCTTGGGTTCACAAAGTAAATCTTCATTTTACTACTAATATATGACATTAAACATTTCATGTTCATAATACCTTGATTGCTATGCACTTTTCATATTATTTCATATTTAATTCCTTGAGTCAGTGTAGTTCATATATGTAATAGATCCACCCATCCATCCACCCATTCTCCACAACTGCTTATGCAGGACAGCATCACAGTGATATGAGATGTAATCTAGTAAGTGCGCTGATCATATCTGCTTATCATCATTTCAGGGCTCGTAACTACGCAGGAGGGTACAAAGAATGGTCTGAGAAAGCGGGGAAGTGAGTGAAGTGGCACGCAGAAGCACTCCTGGCTTTCCTCGGAAAGCAGCCCTGCACTGCAGAATTAAGTCTCTGCCTTTTGTACAAGGATGGCATTTCTCTATTTTATTTTTACTGTGAAGATGTACTACTACGGTAGACGTTTACAATAAAACTATATTCTCAGGGTTGGGAAGTGTCTCTCTTTGGTCATTCCTGTGTGTATGTGAAATAAATGAATGGCTTTCACTTGTTTATTGCCCAGTGTCATTCTGGGAATGATGCATCTAGTTTTGCACACGCCTCCAACAAACACAGTGGTCCTCTCATTAACCTGTTGATAGTATCCTTCAGCCTTGGTTTCTTGTCTCTTTGAATTATGCATTACCTTAACCTGTCAGCGGCCAAAATCTGATTGTAATGGTACATTCCTTAGTATGATAGAACAGGTTCTTCCATGCAGTGCTCATCTGGAATGTGCCAAATGCCGAGATGTCTGTCTCCATGTTGTACCGTCTGCTCTTTCAACTGCTTTGAGCAATCTCGTAAAAATAGTTATGACAATCAAACATTTAGGGTAACTTGCCAGTTATATATCATACATTTTTGCTGGAGGATTCAAATCCTAATCTGCAATTTGTGTAATTTAAAATTTATAATAAAATCACATGGACATTAGCCATTATAATGATGCCTAATTGCCCTACTGATTTTTCAGCACTAAAGTACATCACTACCATACTGGAACCGTGTTCCTTGAAAGATTAATACCAAAATATCAAGGGTACTTAGAAGTCAAAACCAGAGTGACTCTCCTCAGGTGATGCATAATGTTGTCATGAGTTATGAGGTTGCTAAGCAACCTCATAATGATGAGCACAAACTGTCATATGGGAAATGTGCAAGTCTTTGTAGCTATATCAAAAGTTAAATGATGTAAATCATAGAAACATACAGGGATTTTACTGAATATCAAGACCCCATTGGTGCTGGAATTATTGGAATTATGAATGTTACCTCTGATGACTCATACCACGTTTGGGTATTGGGTCTTAGGTCTCTTATGGTTTCATTTATCCTCTGTAGATTATGATGCAATAGTTACATTCGTGGGAATATTCCATACTGCACCTGGTTAATCCCACTTCTACATAACATGTTTGTGAATACAATACTTTTCCCGGTCCTGTCCTGGGCCTGCCACATGGGGCCACTCTGCCCCAAAGCTAAAAGGTAATCAACTATCAGGCAGCCATGCTGAAATATCGTCTGGAAAATGAATCAAAGTTTCTACGATATCCAGCATAATGACCGTTATCTGTTTTAATCCACTTATAGTTCCTTGCCTCCAAAAACTGCACCATCATTATTACACACCACAATCTATCCAACAAAATAAAGCACTTTAAATTCTGTTGTGTTTCTTATTTTACTTTTATAGGCACTATATTCCAGGAGTATTACGATTATGTCCTTTCCAGGATTTTGTTTTCAAAACATTGCCATTTTGTGCTTTCCCTGATTTCTGATAAATAGGTTCTATCTGGTACATTAAGTAAAATTTCACAGACTCATTCACCGATTACTTTAAGGTCCACAGTTCTGTGGGACGGCTGAAATCCTTTTCTTTCATTCTGGCAGACAGATGGCAAAGATGTGAATCCTATAACCAGAGAAGCCAGGCTAGTTTCCAGTCTAGACAATGTCCTTTTGGTCATTATGACCGATGGCTCCAAGCTGCAAGAAAGTTGTTATTCACAGGAAGGTATGAAACTGGCAGGGTTTTCTGCGTGATCCAACTGAACCATCAGGACTTATGAGCTACAGACGGCATGTGGGGGGGGGGGGGGTCACACTGATCTGTCCAATTGAAGGTTAGATCTTCAGCATGGAACCAGACAACTTTAGTGTGAAAAGGTAGGAGGGAACCATGTGCCAAGGAAACACATATATTCACATGTCCATAAGGGTCATTATGGGATGTTGCGGTAGCTAAGAGTTCTGCCTGATTGTAGGAAGATGAAAGCAGCACGGAATATTGCCTTCTGTTGTTTCCATGGTGAGTTAAGTGTTGGTTTCCTTTGAAGCAGAAAGGAAATTTTCTTTATGATGCTTTAAATTCTTAGGGAAGAAAACACAAAAGCGTCCAATTTGAAAGTCGAAACGCTTCCATTTATTTTCTGTTACTCGTCAAAGCTTCTTGTGTCTGGTTTTTGAATTCTCTTTCCTTGATTCACACAAAGTCAGTTTGACAATCAACTGAGGACCTACCAAATTTACTTTAACTGGGTGTTAATTCCCAGCCCTGAACCAATTTGGTTATTTCCAAACACACTTCTAAAGATCTTCAGCTATTCCCATACATAACTCCATCTGATCATGCACTTGACTCAGAACCTTGTGCTTTCTTAAAAATTAAAGCTGTTTTTTAGAGCCAGGTGGATAATCAATATTGTCATATCAAGATTTCCTCATGTCATATTTAACATTCTTTTACACTTTTTCCCTAAAATTACAGCAATCACATCTATAGCAGTGCTTATAATAAAAATAAAAAAAACTGTCTCAATTTTATGAGGACGAGATGTTAAATGTAAACAGAGAATGACTAGACTGGGAATACTGGGAGTTTTCTGTTCATTTTGTTTACATACTCAACAGCGGTAACCTGGGAAATCAATAACAAGTAGCGCAAGTTTTACTTTGTAGTTTTACAACATCAGATCGGGTTTCTGCTCTGTTGGTAAGCGATCTTATGGTTCAAGAAGTTGCCAAAGCAGAGCTTTAGTTTGGAATGGGCAAGGATGAAGTTCCCAGTTGGATGAAAGTATCTTATGCACAACTTAAAAGATGAAAGTTACAAGATGAAAAAAGGAATGCCGGCATTCAGAGAGAGGTACTTTTTCCCTGAAAATGGATGTCTAAGAATTTAGATATCTCACCCTCCAATACAGGCCAATTAGGGTGAAGGTGTTGTAACGAGATGTACTGACATGTTACAGATTGGTTAATAGGTGAAGCGACTGAGGCAAAGGTAAGAAACTGCAAGGAGTTGCCACACTGCAGGTAATCCCACTGATCTGGGAAGAAAGAACGTGATTAAAAACAGGAGGAGAAGAGATTGAAGGAAGAGGAAAGCAAACTAGGCATTGATAGGCCATATTGGTCATTGTACTTTATCTTATTAATTTGAGTAAGGCCAAACATATCTGAGGAATATTTGAGGAATACAAAATTAAACTCAAAAGGGGACTTAATGTAAAAACCAAGGCTGAATTTAAGGTCATGTCAAAGATGGCAGAAAGCAGGGGAAGAGAGAAAAAGGAGAAGTCCACAGAAAAGGACAGCGTAGGTTAGACGGCGTGGGGCGGGAAAGCGTGCCCCATGTTACGACGCATGCGGACGGACACAGAAGTTGGGCCTGCGGGCCGGAACAAAGCCAGACTTGCAGATGCACTTGAAGGAGCCCACAGTGTTGATGCAGCGGGCGTTCTTGCAGGAGTTGCGGAGACCCAGTTCGGCGCACTCGTCGACATCTGCGAGGGAGAAAGCTACGGGATGTGAACTGGACCAGGGCTCCATGTGTATTGATTCTTAATATTCACACCGATGGACTAGAGTCTTTCATATCATTTACATTTAGACATGGAAGCAATAATATAGAAAAAAAGAACAAAAAAAAACAGCACATGAATGTCAACGTAGACACACTATGCTTTACTTCCAGATTAATACAGATCAATTATTTTTATTGTCTATCTTATATATCAGAGGTCACTAACAGGCGGACCGTGGTCCGGGACCGGACCCAGAAGCTGTCCGATATGGACCCGGACCGACAACATTAAGTTATTATTTAAAACCTGACGGGTTCTATTTTAACCGGCGCAGCGTTTGTAGTCGTTTCGGTAGTGGTTTAGCAGTAGAGCCGCCGTTTCCCACGCCAATGAACGTCAAATGCCTTTGACCGCCAAGCTAGACGTAGTTCAGTGTATGCAGCCCTTTGTTTGCTAATGTGTCATTAGTGTTAATAGCAGCAGCGAATCTAACACCCACAACCAAAAAGCCGTAATGTTCCTAACAGAGTGACTGGTCTGTCCTGAAATCATACAGCTGAGAAGTTTTCAAAACACAGTATGTGTTATATATCATGTTCATTGAAGTTTATGCTTTTTAACATATGTATAAAGTAATGTTATCTGTTATATAAATAAACTCAGGTGAAACAAAAAATGTACGTTTTCATGGCTGCCAAATCTCAAGCATCGGGCATGACACTCACGCATTCAGACTCACGCTGGAAATCTTACGGCAAAGCTACAGTATATTATTCCATTATAAAACCTAAAATTAGCTACATCAAAGGTGTATTTACATGGTTAAATGCAAAAGCAGACTATTTACAAGGTAAGAGCTGTTACATGTGTGTGCAGACATCTCGAATTGAAAATCTCATTCCAGTCAGCTGGCCGAAGTTCTATGTCACGTGACAATAAATATTGTCAAAATGTTTTTGAATTGTACCGAATTAATTTGATTTGACAGTCAGGTACTGATTGCATGCAATGTTGATACAACTAAAAGGCTATTTAAATATATATATTACACTAAATAGTTAGACATTATGATCTTCCGGACTTTTCAGAAGTTTCAAGAAATTTTCAAGAAATTTTCA